AAGGGAAATGTCAAGCCTGTGCAGCCCAGCAGAAATTAAGTGTCATTTAAATATCTCTTATACAAAGAAATGAGCGATGTCGTCAGAAGCTACATCCTACCTTTCAAGCATTCTACCGCTTTTGAAAACTAAGAACCAGATTTTAAAAATGGATTTAACAGCAGAATTTATAATTGCTTGCCAAGCACTCACAGTTGCACTAAAATTTGTCTCCCATAAAACTTACCCTGGTGAGACTATGGGGTGATATGGTGCAATGAGACTCACTGAGATGGTGATATATAATTTTTAATTTATTAAACTCCAATTCTGAGAGCAAAAAAAAAAAATCTTGTTTGACAAAACTTGAAGCTAAAAGAGCAGAAATGAAAATTATTCTTTATAGATCAAAAAGAAGACAGAAGGATGAGAAGGAGACATTTAGGATGTTCTTGTTAGTGGAACAACATGACCATGAGGACCACATGACTTGAGCCCAGGCTGGAAATGAAGACATGAACAGAGTCATTCAAGATCTCAGAGGAGGGGACATAAATACCAAACTAGATGAAAGGCAGTGACAGTAGAGAAATTTGATGCTTTAATTGATGAGGAAGAGACATCATTGTACTATTTGCAGTTTAAATGGAGGTGAGTGGCTAAATTTAAAAATGGCAGAGTTTTTGTATCACCATTTCTACAATCGCCATTCTTTCCTTTCACTTCAAATTGACTCTGTACTTTTTTGTAGTAACACCACAAATGACATTTTTTCCACAGTGAGATCAATAATAGACAATACTAAATGACACAAGCCAAAACCATCCTTAGAAAGCCACAAACTAGTGAAAATCTAGTTTGATTTACTTTATCACAGTTTGGTCAGTGTAGTAACTCAGTAGTCCCTCTGTAGTAACTCTGTAGTCCCTCCATGACCCTCAGATCTTCCTGAGTTGATGAACAGGGGTGGAGTGCATGGCCTAACACTGCAGTAGGACTGTTGGGTCACAGCGTGGGCATTTGCTGTGCTGCTTTTCCAGGTCTTTTAATTTCATTTCCCATTTTGTTTTCATACTCTAGGAAGTGCCATCTTCCACTCCCACAGGCAGCGCATCACTGTTTGATATCATGAGCTGAAATTATGATGTGAGGCTGGATGCCACCAAGGATTTTATAATCACACCATCCTGGGATTTCTGTAGCCATCAGAATGTACCATAGACCTTATATTTTATATCAAATATATCTAAGAAATGCACTTATCATGCAGAAAATCATTACTACATGAGTTCAAGCAGTGTGAAACATGGAACAATGGTGACTAGATTATGACTCCATTATCTGTACAAATGCAATGCTACTACAGAAGTTCACCACAAAATAACAAATCTGACATCTGCAGCTGAGATTCTCAAAACTGTCTAGGGGACTGAGGTACATAGTCACCATTAATGTTAATGTGTCTATGTCCCCTCCGTCATTTAAAAAATTTCAACCTATTTTTTGAGAGAAAAGACTACACTAAGTACAAGATAATTTCAAGTCTGAAGGTCACAGAAATCACAAGGGATTCATGGTGGCCTTTACCACAGTAATTTTACTATATCAAGCACAGAAACTTTAATGGGAAACTTATTCCACCTCAAATGAAAACTTAAATCAGTATCTTCAAAATTCCTTATGTTAGGAACTGTGGGAAAAAAATAATTCAGTAACAGTTTCATTGCAGAATTTTCATTTACTTTTCTAAGTTATTTTTTGTTTTACAGATAAGCTATTTTTAAAATTATTTCTTACCATAGCAATCTCAGAATGGAATAGTACTATTATTGATGTGGGTTAAGAAGATGTAAGAGCTGAAATATTTTCTTCTGGCAAATTTTTACATTCATTAGCTAACATTGACAAAAAAGTCTTCTTTTCTGAATTAAGATGTCACTTACATCCAGTGCAATTAAATAGAGAATTTTGAAATAAAAATTAATCTAAAAATACAACAAAAATTGAGAAATGTAACTTTTTAAAAACAGTATTTAAAAAAAAAAAGATAGAAACATACAATTTTTTTTCTCAAGGGATTTTCTTTTCCCAAAATGAAATTATTTAATTAAAAAAAAAAAGGAGACTGGAACAAATATTTCTTTGCAGACAAAACATTTCCTGAGGTGGACTTGGAACTGAAGATATGACCTAATATTGGAATAAAACATAAAATTAAAGCCTGGGATAAATGTATATTAAAGTATTGCATAAATGAAAGTGAACCATTAACTTGTTTTATACATTTACATATCATATACATTCACACATGCATTGTTTAAAAAGAAGTTAAATGCAGTCTATCATTCAGAAGTTAAGGGAGACCTGATTTGGATATAGTGTGATATCTTATTGCAATGGCTGCTATTTGTTCAGCTCTCCTGTCCTCTATCAAAGACTTGCAAATAGAGGTGCACTTTTGTGTCAGTCACTACCAAAGAAATCTCTCCATATTCTTATGATGGGAAATTCTTTTACTGCAGACATATTACAGGTGAGGATATCCCTTGAGTAATGGGAAACAACAAAACTACAAGAAAAAGAAAACAGATGAGTTTTCCAGGAATGCTGAGGTAGTAGTTTTGAATGTCAAATTTTGCCAAGTCACTGCATGTCTAGAAAGCCACACATAACTTCATGGCTTCTGCTTCTATTCTTCAGCTTGTTAGTTGAATGACTTGGTAAATTCAAGTAAATGAAATATCTGATGAAGGATGGGACATTGACTATATTCTTGCGCCAGAAAAATGATATTGATGAGCTGCAGATCAAGATTAAGTTCACAGGTGCCAAAGTTAAAAAAAGAACCAAAATAAAAAATAGTTTGCCAGCTTTGTAAGTTATTTTGGAGACCTAGAACACAGTTGTATGCACAAACAGTAAAACGTTCCCTGATGAGAGTCTGGCTCACTGTTCATTTGCCTGAAAATCTCTTGGCAGCCATCTGGATCAGGTCTAAATAAAATGTAATACTAAGCCCCTAATCTGACAGTGATAAGCTGGTGACAATGATTATTCATGAGTTTATAAGGAGAGTAGACCTTGAGAGGCAGATGTGAGTCCTTTCTTTCAGACCCAATTTCAGTGCTTTGAATACACTGGAAGCACTTCAGAGCATAAGATTTACTTTATATATATAAGAAAAAGCTGCTTTAATTAGCTTGACATCTAATTGTTTCCTAATTGCCAGAAGATGCTCCAAAGAAAAAAGCTTATTTCACAAGGCTTGCTGCATATGCACTCTCACACACAAAAAACCATTGTTTTAAACTTGATGATCCAAAGTTAATGAAATGTTTTGGCCTTGTTTCAGAGAGCAACTGTTCTGAAGTAGGGGGATACCATTTTATTGTTTTATTGTTTTATTGAAACAGAAAACTTTGAGAGGGGTGTCTGTCAAAACCACTTAACTTTGACTGAACTTTGCTCTCATGAATTAATCTTAAAATTTCAGCCAATGTAGAAAGCCCTTTAATCATCCTGGGCCTAATTCAATGTCTTTTTAAATCAATGGACAGTTTTCCATTGACTTCCCTGCACTTTGGGTCAACCTTTACATTCACTCAAATTAAGCTGGGAATTTAGAGAAAGGGTTTTATAGGAACCTCTCTGCTTCAATTTCAGGAAATCTAAGGAGATTCAAAAGTGAGATCTTGTATTTTCAGTCTTTGCCTTTCTTTCTTTGTGTGAAGCTTAATAAGGAAATGAGGTATAAGAAGGAGTATATCCAGAGAAAGGGTACAAATGCGCCCTCAGCAAGTTTTCAGATGACACCCAGTGGGGTGGGAGTGTTGATCTGCTGGAGGGAAGGAAGGTTCTGCAGAGCTGTGCCGCAGGCTTGGGGCAGAGTGTCTGGAAAGCTGCCCAGGGGAAAAGGCCCTGGGGGTGCTGGTGACAGTGACTGAACATGAGCCAGCTGTGCCCAGGAGGCCAAGGAGGCCAAAGGCACCTGGCCTGTACCAGCAACAGTGCAGCTGGCAGGACCAGGGCAGGGATTGTCCCCCCGTACTGGGCACAGGTGAGGCCACACCTTGAATCCTGTGCTCAGTTCTGGGCCTCTCATTGTAAGACACTGAGGTGCTGGAGCCTGACCAGAGAACGGCAGCAGAGCTGGGGAAGGGTCTGGAGCACAGGTCCTGTGAGCAGCAGCTGAGGGAGCTGGGGGCATTTAGTCTGGACAAAAGGTGGCTCATGGGGGACCTTTATGCTTTCTACAAATCCCTGGAAGGCTGCAGGAAGGTGGAGGTGTTGGTCTCTTCTCCCAAGGAACAAAATATAGGATAAGAGGAAAGGGCCTCAGGTTGTGCAAGAGAAAGTTTCAGTTGGATGTTAGAAAAAATGTCTTCACTGAAAGGGTGGTCAAGCAGTGGATCAGGCTGCCCAGGCAAGTGGTGGATTCACCACTGCTGGAGGTGAATCCACCACGTTAAATGATGCACAGATGTGGCACACAGGGTCAAGGTTTAATGGGTTAGCACAATAGCAGTGGTGGGTTAACAGCTGGATTTCCTAATCTTAAAGCTCCCTTCCAACAAAAATGCTTCTATGATTCTTTTAGAAGCTCATGCTTGATGTAGTAACATGCTTCCTTTTCTGCCTGCTCCCAATGGAGAACTTAATTTGCTTCTGAAAACCGAGAGGCTTGGAAATGCTCCAGCCCAAGAGTAGTTGCTGCATATTGCAGACTCCCCTGCTTAAGCCCATTGCATTCTAATGCACAAATTTTATTCCCCACAGTACCAGCTACACAACAAACAGGCCCTTCATGGATAGTTCAAGTACCAGCAGTTCAGAGAAGCTATTTGGAATAAACTAGGAGAAGGGACATTTGTATTGGCTAGAGAAATCATCATAGGCAAAACCATCTTCTCAGAATAGAGGCCATGCACACCATTATCTATGTGTTTGCCCTGGTAACATTATTTATTTATTTATTTATTTATTTATTTATTTATTTATGGTACAATGACACCCAGATACTCCAGCTAAGAGTGGGAGCCTGCAGAAAGAAACTCACTGTCCCAAGATCTGCACCAAGAAGCTCCAAGCCTAAATGGACACAAGCTGTAAAGGTGAGGCAATCTGTTTGCTGTCATCTAGCTGGGCTGGGGCAGCCTCTGAGAGAAACAAAATGACTAATTTCCATCTGCTGCCCCACCCAGAGTCCTGCACTGCTTTTCATTTACGCTGACCTTTTCTTCACTCTCTAAAGCTTCCTTTCTCCCTTCCTTCTCCTTTTCTTTGCACACAGGGGTAACAGGCAAGAACTAAGCTAAAAGTTCAGAGTCATTGAACCTACATCCAAAGTTATTCTCTCAACTGCTTGCAGATGTGAGCATAAGGGCTTAGAGAGTCACAGAAACTAAATGCTCTCCTGGGATCCAGGAAAATATAGGAACATAGCTGGATCCATGCTGGATATTTTCTTTGGTCAGAGGAAATAATTGTCACACCATGGGGCTAGATTTACTCGTTGGAACTAACAAGAGACAACAACCCTTCTGGCTTCCCCACCAAGTACACATATAATGGAGAACTGCTGCTTCCTCTCTATCACCACAGGATGTGGCTTGAGATATTCAGTTTTAATCCTACTCTGATGCATGAGGTTGGTACAAATTCTGCCCTCAGACCTCTCAAGTATTAACAACACTAATGAAATTACTCAGGGGCTGTCATTTTTCATCCTGATATTCTTATGTCGCTGATCTGCATTGCAGCACTTTTCTTTGCTCCCAATGACTCAAACTATGCTTTGTAGTTCTAAGACTATTCAGGAGTGACCTCAAGGCTCAATCAAACCGGAATCAGCAGGGGACTGACCTTTAACACCCTGGGAAAAGGAGAAGCTGAAATTAATCTTCAAACCGAGTTTCCTTCTTTAACACAGAGAACCAGTGGGGAAATTATTTGTGGTTGTTAAGGGAGCTTAGTTAAGTCTAAGCAGAGCTCCCTTCTGAGCCCCTCCTTGACATAGCTAGACATGAACTTGGAAGTCAGTTTGACAGAACTTCAGCTGATCTAGCTGCTCACAGAAAGCTAGCTTCAAGACTACTGACAGACACACAAGACCACAGTAATCAAATCAAATAGTATAAAACAAGACTGATAAAAATCGTTCAAGGGTGGGAAATGGTTATCCTAGATGAGTCATGGAGATTTTCCTACTCCTACATGACACCTTCCAGTTTCAGATGCCTCCCATTTCCAAGACTGAAAGAGTGATGATGGAGCTGTGCTGTTCCCATTTTCTGGGCGAGGAAGCAGTAGTTACTGTACCTGGCAAAAGAATATAACTTTTGTATCACTTCAGTCATGCATCTTCATTCTCATATCTTCTGATTTTGAAAGGATCTATGATACAGGAGGCCCTAGAAAAGCTAGTAGCTGATGCAGAATTTCCCCCATTAGACCTTAGAGTTTTTGTAGTGCTCTTTTTGTATGCAGCACATCAATTGCAGAATAGAAAATAAATTAAGAACGTGCTCCAGAGTGGGATGACGGTAAGAACAGGTTACAGTGGGATGTAAAAAGGAAAAAGAGTAAAATGACCAGTGACTAAGGGAAAAATGACAAGTAAATCCATGAGAGGAGGTCACATGCCTGAACATTGAAGCTTTCCCAGATTTTTTTTGCAAATAATTAGAGAAACTCCCCAAAGCAGAGAGAGAGAAACTTCTCAGTAAAGAAGTGACTGTTTCTTCAGTACAGTCCTGCCATTTCTTAGTGCATTGAGTGCCCTGCTGTGCCTTATGCCAGAATGATGTGAAGAGAATACTTCTCTCTCCCAGAAACACTCATCCACTGTTTGGCACTGACATACTATGCCTTGATTTTATCATAAGTCCTCTACACAGGAGACTTTGGTTTTGTGCAGACACCTGCTATCAGCCCCCCTCACTGTCTCATAAACACATCTCTGAAGTCTGAAATAGCTGTGGTAGTATCAACTCTGCTCATGGAGCACTCATGGTCAAAAGACAGCAGAAATCATGTAATGGCCAAGCAGATATTTCTGCAGGCAATTAAGCAACTCTAAGATCTTCTTTGTAGATGGATCCACAGTTAGAAACAAATGCTTTGAAACTAGTTTTATAGGATGGAAATTTGTAAATCAAGTCTGGCTCTGTTTTCAACAAAGTACAAGGAGCATGGTGGCAGCTGCCAGTGCAGGAACTGACAGCTGAGGTAGTTCCTGGGAATGGGATAACAGAACTCAAAAGACTGGTGCAGATAGAAACAATTGTTTCATTGGGCTTTCCTTAAAATGACTAATAATAATAATAATAATAATAATAATAATAATAATAATAACAACCACTAATCCTTGTTCTATAAAAATATTTACATTGAATAGATTCCCTTGGAGGCTTTCAACTCTTTTGAACCAACCCCTAATGGCTGTAGTGATGGGCCTGCACCATCCAAGAAGGGTCTGATTTTTACGAAAGCTTCTTGGGGGAAAAAAATATAGAAGAATGTCTCATTTTCCTGTCCTCTCTCTACTTCTACACTGGCACACTTCCAAGGATCACTTGGAACCAATGGAGCTGGCTATGATTCAAGAGCCCATACACACACACACAAACAAAAAACGGATTACACAGCAGAGCAACAAGACCAAAGACCATTTGAAATGGATTGTTCACTCAAAAGGAGCTGCTTTTTGGAAGGGACACGGCTGTACTAGTTAATCAGTACTGTCAAAATAGATGTCTTTATCACACACTGTTATTTATTTTGCACCAAGAAAGCAACAGTACCTGGTGAAGTTTGGGAAGGAAGCACAGCATTGCAAATTGCTTTTCTAGAACTGAAGAGTGCAGATTTATGGGGGAGATTGCTCCAAAAATGTAATGCAATATAACATTGGGAGTGAAGGAAAAGTGAAATGTATGTGTAATATTGCTGACTACACTGCTGACAAGGCAATTGTTCTGGAGGAAATAATTTTTACAGTGCAACTGAACAAAAAGCCATCAAACATCTCCTGAGATCAGATAGGTTAGAATACAAGATCTTTAACATATAAATACCAAAGAAACTTTTCTCTGGTGACAAAGAAATAAACAAGGAAAAAACCTCTGATTAAAAATCAAATAATGCATCTTCAGTATTGGGCCTCAGCTCATCTACATGACACTGCCTCACTGATAAGGAGCACTAGGCTCCTTACAGCTACAGGTTTTCCAGAGGACTTGTCTGGGCACTAGAGTTCCATTTCTGTGGTAAAATAGGTGTTTAAACTTGTTCTTCCTTACTGGGCTGTGAAACACAAAGGAGTAGATCAGACATGAGCTGGGAGTGGTACTTGGCTATGTTTAAACTCCATCACATGTGCTGAAGGCATGACTTGGGAGTAATTCTTGGATTTGAGTACCAAGATTAATTTGGTCCTGGAAAAGCTACATAAATACTTGCCTATGCAAATGCATATAAAGAGAAATCTAATCTCTATACATCTCTATTATTTGTACATTTATGGCATGAATGTCCTGGATATTTCACATCCACTTCTAGTAGTTCCTTATGAAGTTTCAGATTTAGTAACTCAGCAGCCAGATTTTTAACTAATGAAACATCTGGGCTTAAGCATATTTATTTTTTCTTAACAGAATTTGCTTATTGGTGAAAAATTGCTGTCTCGGAATGAAAGAAGTATTGTCTAAATATAATGTTAACAGATATGACAAACAGATTAATTTTCTTAAATGTTTTTTATTTCCACTGTATAATTTATATATTTATAAAAAAAGAACAAAAAGAAAAACCCCAAAAACACAAAACAAACACACAAAAAGATGTCGCCTTCTCATTTAAATATGATTTTTTATTGAAAATGTGTGTGGTTTAACCCTAGCTGAGAACTCACACAGCCACTCGCTTGGGGTGAGATAATTGAAAGAGTGAAAAAGAGAAAACTCGTGGGTTGAGAAAAAGATAATTTACCAGGTAAAGGAAAAGCCACACACATATGCAAAACAAAATGAGGAGCTTATTCACCTCTTGCCATTGATGGGCAGCAGTTCAGCTATTCTTTGGAAGGATGGTGTGGTCACACTCATGGTGTGGGTGAAAAGCACCATCACTCCAAACATATCTCACTTCCTTCTTCCTCCCCAGCCTTACATGTTCAGTGCAAAGCCATGTGGTGTGGGATATCCCTGTGGTCAGCTGGGGTCAGCTGTCCTGGCTGTGTCCCCTCCCAGCCCCTTGTGCACCCCCAGCCTCCTCTCTGCTGGGGTGGGATGCTGGACAGGAAAGGCCTTGGCTCTGTGGAAGGGCTGCTCAGCAACAGCTAAAATATCCCTGAGCTACCAGCTCTGCTTCCAGCACAAACCCCAAACACAGCCCCACACTTGCTGCTCTGAGAAAATTAACTATATCCCAGCCAAAATCAGCACAAGCATAAATATTAATTCATCCCCACTCCTGTGCCCCTCCCCCATTTTTAGTTCTGCAAGCACATTAAGAGAGTAAATTACTTTACATGTGTTTCAATGAGGACATCAACTAACCGTGTACTCTCTTCCCTGTGATTCACAACATCCGTATTTCTCTTTGTTGTACTTAAAAAACTGAAATTTAGTCCTGGTAATACCAAAACAAATACTTTGTGTTTGTATTATATTGAAAAGAAGCAGAAGGTCCTTATTCAGTACAAGCTTCAGTTTCAATAAAAGCAAAAGAAACAGAAAATTACTCAGATAATTTTTTGTGTTTCACCTTTCTCCTGCTTTTCAATAAGGACCATGACCTTGAATGTGTACCACCTGAACATGAGAGAATAGCTCAAGGAATATGTGTCACAGAGATATTCTAGTATTGTGGAGTGAGAACAAAAACCAAGGTTAAACACTCAAATATTAACAGAACAAGCTGTGAAAAAAAGGAGAAGCAGCAAAGAAGAAAAACACTTGTGTAACAAAAACTGAAAACATGCTTTAATTTCTCATTGAGATGACACAACCAAATTCTCAATTAGAAGCACAATTTAATTTCTGGCATGACTGTAATTTGGTTAGAAAGCTGTATTTCACAAGTTTCTTAAATTCCTTTTAGGTAGAAATAA